CTCCGGGGCGTCCCGGGCTGACCCGCTCTCTCTCTGCTCGTTGCAGGGGCGGGCTCGGCCGCGATGCCGCTGTGGGATTTCCAGGGCAGCACCATGGTCACCAGCCAGTACGTCCGCCTGACGCCCGATGAGCGCAGCCGGGAGGGCTCCATCTGGAACCGTGTGGTGAGAGCCCCGGGGAGACCGCCGGGGGGGCGGGGGCCGGGGGGAGACCCCAGCGCCTCTCCCGTGTTTTGCCCTAACGCCGCTGGGTGATCTCTCTGCACAGCCCTGCTTCCTCAAAGACTGGGAGCTCCACGTCCACTTCAAGATCCATGGAGCCGGCAAGAAGAACCTGCACGGGGATGGCCTGGCCCTGTGGTACACGCAGGAGCGCCTGGTGCCAGGTACAGCACACAGCCACGGACTGCCTGGCTGGGCTGGGGTCTCATCAGCACTTGCAGTGGCCCTAGGGCAGCCTGGGGAGCTGCCTTGGAGCTTCCCTTGTCCTGGAAGGTTTCTCACCAGGGAGAGCATTTGAGATCCCCTCTGTCTGGTTTCACTCAGTGGGGATGATGTGTCCTGTGCATTCTGCCCTGGAAGCAGGCACCCTCGGTCATCTGCCTTGCGATAAACAGCTCTTACAGCTCTTCTCAGTAGAAGTCTCTGAGCATAGATTCCTTCTGAGAGCCTTTTGTTCCCTATGTTCTGCCCTGTTCTAGGTCCTGTCTTTGGCAGCAAGGACAACTTTCACGGGCTGGCTATCTTCCTTGATACATATCCCAACGATGAAGCGACAGAGGTGAGTAGTTCAGGGAGCTCGTTTGGTGCCGATGAGGCTTTGTGCCCTGAGTGCTTCATGCCTGGACCAAGAAGAAGTCACCTTACGTGAGACTGGGCTGCTCTTCCTGTGTTGAGAGCTGGTAAAGGGAAGAGTTTGTACACATGTTAATGGAGATAAGAAGGTCCTTGCTTTGCTTTTTGCTGTTGTTGACTACACAGATGTTTCTAAGGCCTTCTCCCCTCAGGATAAGAGGGCAGCATGGAGCTGGTGTAAGCTATGCACCACCTATGAAGTTAAGCTAGAGGAATCCACCTCAAAGTATATTCATCCCGAGTTTCATTTATTGAACTTCTCTGTGCTTTGGTTGACCATTCCATGCTATTTCTGGCCCTATTCTCTGTTTCCAACCTGGGTGTCTCTAAAAGAAACTCCTGGGCCGGCTTTTTGCTCCAGAATGCCCCGTGGCTGAAATACAGATCAGTCTCCTGGGGGCTGTAGGTCCTTTTCTTCCCTCCTGCTTCATGTTTGTGGATGTTGTTATGGCACAGTCAGAAAACATAACTCCTAGTGAGATCTATTGCACCCAAAACCATGTCACTGAGGTTCATAAAGCCCCTGGAAGTGACCTCATCCCCCTCTTGCCTTGATGCTCGCTGAGAGCTGAATTCTTGCCTCCTGTTGGCTTCTTCCAGTGAACGTAATCTGCTGACTGCAAAGCCCTGGGCATGGTTATGCTGTTCATGTGAGATTTCTGCCTGTTCTGAGTCCTATGCTCTGTTCTTACGCTTCTTACCTGGTCTGGTGCTTACTCTGCAACTCTGGGAGGGTCTCATTGCCCTGCCCATGTGTTACGGTGGGGGCTCGTGGGCGGCCTTGATAAAGAAGGACAGAAATGGCTGCTTTGCTTTAGCCAGAACAAGCTCCTGCTTGGTTTAGAAGCAGCTTTATATAGAAAATGAGCCTTGGTTTCATTGTTCTGCCTTCCATCCCCGACTGCGCAGCAAAGCTGTGGCTCTGTTGCAGTGCCTGGCTGCTCTCGCTGAGGTTTCTGACCAGGCGGGGGGAGGTGGCTCTTGGTCTGCAGCTCGCAGGCTCCTGCAGGCTGAAAGCACCAGTGCTCTCCTCCCTGCAGCGCGTGTTCCCCTATATCTCTGCCATGGTGAACAATGGCTCCCTGACGTATGACCACAGTAAGGATGGGCGCTGGACAGAGCTGGCAGGGTGCACCGCCGACCTTCGGAACCAGAACCATGACACTTTCCTGGCAATTCGGTACTCCCGAGGCCGCCTGACGGTGAGATGTGGCAGACACCTGCTGCAGGGTGTCTCATGCATGTTAGATGGAGCAGTGCTGAGGGGAGGGTGTTGCTGTGTTGGTAGGTGACCTTGGAGATGGTTTTCCAGGCTTGACCACCTGCACCTCTGGCTCTGAAAGAGCTGCAGGTGGGCAGGATGGCAATGTGCGCTCTTGGTGTGACGCTCCCCTGGTCTTACAGGTGATGACTGATGTGGAAGACAAGAATGAATGGAAGAACTGCATTGACATTGCAGGGGTGCAGCTGCCAACCGGCTACTTCTTTGGTGCTTCTGCTGGCACTGGAGATTTGTCTGGTGAGAGGGGTCTTTGCTTGCAGGAATACCTGCTGTTTGGAGCCCGGGATGTAATGCTATGGATGCATTGCATGGCTTTGATGGTTTCTTTTCCCTGAATTGTTAAAATCTAGCAACCTTGTTGGGTAGGGACCCATGGCCTGAAAAAGGAGGCACCTAAGAGCTAAGGAACATCTCAAATTGCAGTTTGATACCTGGGGTGTGAGGGTGGCTTGAGAGGGAAGGAGACCTGGACCTGGCAGAGCACGGACCTGAAGTGCTCTGAGTGTGTGGACATCTCCTGGAGCTTCTGACGGTGTTTGGTGCTGATGGTTGTTCGTAGACAATCACGACATTATCTCGATGAAGCTGTTCCAGCTCATGGTGGAGCACCCTCTAGAAGATGAGACTGTTGACTGGACCAAGATTGAGCCTAGTGTCAGCCTCCTTAAATCACCCAAAGGTGAGTTTCTGGGCTTCAGAAACCTGTGGTAGAGCATGGGGATGCTGGGGCTGGACTCTTAAAGGCCTGTTAACGGATTTCAGAGCTGCAGGATCCTGCAGGAGCCAGGCTGAGTCGGTCTCTGTAGCTGTTCTTGTCTTTGCAGACAATGTGGATGACCCGACGGGGAATTTCCGAAGTGGGCCTCTGACAGGCTGGAAGGTGTTCCTGCTCCTGCTCTGTGCACTGCTGGGCATCATCGTCTGCGCTGTGGTGGGAGCTGTGGTCTTCCAGAAACGCCAGGAGCGGAACAAGCGTTTCTACTAGCGGAGGACATGGGCCGTGACCTGTGCCCAAACCCATCTTTTCTATGGGGAGCTGTAAAAACTGTGGTTTCTAAAAGCTGTTTCCGAGAAATATCAGAAGTATTTTCTTACCTGTCTGTCTGGCTGTAACCCCTGCCTGGCCTCCGGCAGGTTGGACTGAGGGGGTGATGCCCCCTGGGTCTCCAGGGCTGCACTGGGGGAGCCTGGAGGTCGCTCTCCCCACACCTTGCCCCCAAGCTGGGACCTGCCGTGCT